GTATTTGTCTTGAATTTTTCTCAAGATTCTAAAAATAATAATAATAAATAAATAAAATAAATAAATTTAAAGTGTATCTTTTGCACATGAGTCTGTTTCTCACAGATGTCACTTCTATCCCACTCGAGTTTCAGCATAGTGGAGCAATGTGAAACATCTAAACGAGAGGATGTTGCTAACCACATGCTGCAAGAGTCTGAGATAAAACACGTCAATCCCAATCAGGTTACGYTGCTGAGAGAGTTTGTTAAATGTTATCACCCTTTGTTGAGGTGTGCTGCAGGAGAAAAGACGAGTGTTTCTGAAAAAATATCAAAATTGTGCAACATTTCGGGGAAATTCACTCAGCGCGAGAAGAGGAAGTGTTAAGAACAAGCATTGCAGTACTTATGCATGTCCTTCACAGCACAGGAATAGGAAGTATGAAGAGACAGGAAAACAACACAAACAAAATCCTCATTTCAAAGCAGCACAGCTGCAGTGAGTGTGAACCACAGAGGGTTTATCTTTATTGTCTCTTTGCTGTTTGCAGCTGCTTCTACAGAGTTTGACCTGTTTTTTTTCCCCCGCCCTCCAGTGGAAACTGAAGTTGTGAAGAGTTTTTGGTATAAAAGATGAGCGACTCACTGGAAAGGACCACGGACTGTCCCTTGTCACCACTCGGAGATAAGTCCGGTCTGAAAGAGGAGGCAGGGAGTGAAGCAGGGATTGGTGAGTTGTGCTGGGAGGATGGTGGTCTACCAGTAGAGCTGCAGAGAGGGATGGAGACTCTGAGGGTCAACAGAGAACTGACGGACGTGACCCTGTGTGTTCAGGGTCAAGAGTTCCCCTGCCACAGAGCCATTCTTGCTGCTGCCAGTCAGTACTTCAGGTAAAAATAACCCAACTTTGTCTCACTCCACTGTGATTGGACAGTTATTTTTTATTTTATTTTATTTTTACTTATTTGATGTATTTTTGCGCAGGGCCATGTTCCGCAGTGGTCTTCGGGAGAGTTATGAGGAGCGTGTGGAAATAAAAGGCTTGGACAGAGGGACAATGCATTCTCTCCTGGAGTACACTTACACCAGCCGAGTCGTGCTCACAAACTCAAATGTTCAGAGGATACTCGAGGCTGCCAGCCAGTTTCAGGTAAAACTTCGTAAAGACCTGACAAGAAAGTTTCCTGGTAGCACATTTTCACACCACARTTTAAATGTTGGTTTGAAATCTACTGACAGAATAATGACCTAATTAAAAAATAGTTTGTAAGCTAAAGCTTTTGATGCATTAATTTCGATTTATTTAAGTTAAATTGTAAGTAGTTTTTAGATATTTAGACAATAAAAAGAAAAAGGGAAATTGTCTTGAATCAAAAAAAAAACCACAATTCAAGCAACGCATTAAACCTCATCTGAACTTTTTAATAAATGTTTAATCTTTTCACTTCACTATTTTTGTTATTTAGGGGAACAAACATGTTGTTTAAGAAGTTAGTTGCTCTAAGAGGGAAGTGAAAGTTGACCAGTTGTTTACACAGGATCAGTTTTCCATTGAGGCCTAACTGCACAGCTGTGCCACCGCTCCATGGTGTCAGGTGTTTGTGTTTTTGTGATTCTATTTTTTGCAGAAAGTGTTAGAGTTAAAACATGAACCACTGAGGCATTTCATCTTCAGCGAGGTGTTTTAAGGCCACAGTTTGCTGTTTTTACAATCCCTTAAGGTTTAGGACATAAATTGTTAAAGGCTGAACAATAACGTGGTGGTTAATATTGGATAACACCCACAATCTTTTTATTAAAACAGATCATTCAAATATTAAACAAAATGAACCATTTTCAAAAAATAGCAATACATACAGTTGTTCTTTGGAAAGAGTGGTTCTGCTGCTGAGAGTGGTGTCTGATTTCAATCTTGCACAGACCACATCCACCGCCTTATCAACAGGAACGCACGTAAAGAGCGATGTAACATCAAAAGAGACCATAGTTTCATCCGTCTCCATGATGACATCCCTCACCTTGTTCACAAAGTCCATAGTGTTCTGTATGTGATGATCTGAGCTGCCAACTAATGGAACAAGTACTGATGCTAGATATTTAGAAACATTGTAAGTGACAGAGTTGATCATGCTAACAATGGGTCTTACCGGTACATCCTGTTTGTTAATTTTGGGTAAATCATACAGACTTGGAGTGGCCTCACCTGGGTACAGTGTGTGGTAGAGAATGTGGTTAATAGCCTTAATAGACTGTTAATAGACTGAAGAAGTCTCTTGGAGGAGAGACGAAACGTTTCACTAAAGAAGAACCCATCCAGAGGACCTACTTATTTTTTCTTTTTGAAAAATTGTGAATTTTTTTAACAATGCATTCTACTTGAGTGTAGTTAAAAATAAATGGGAAAATTTTCTGCTTTAGTGGACAGATCGATAACCCCAAATATAAAACTATTTTGCATTAGCCTTAGATGTTCCAAGATGCTTTAGAATTTCATGCATTATATAGTTACTCCTTAGTCACACTCCAGACCACAATCACACAACATTAATATACATGGGAAAGTCATGTTAAGTGGGATGCTCATGGGATACAATGACAGTATGTACTCGGGTAGGGATTTGAACCAGCTGGTTGCAAGGTGAAGTTAAAAAATAGCAATAATAAAATGCTACTCAAGCATAAATTCTCAAAAACTGTGCTTAAGTACAGTACTCAAATATATTAATGTTTTTTCTGCCCACSTCTGTTCATTCACAATTAAATGATTATGTGTATATCCTGCTGCTACAATGCAAGCCACAAATCTGTATCAATTCACATCATTCACATAACCTGTGAAAATGACTAACAAAAAATGTTTACAGATTTCCTCAAAGGGATGCATACCTGCTGCCTCGCTTGTCCAAGTTTTAAACAAACATCTTGTGCAATTTGGTAGCCCTCATAGTAATTATTATGGACTACATTCAGCTACTCCGCATCACATTAGCTCACTATCTATAAAATTGACTGAGGTGTTGTCGTTTTTTGGTTTCAAACTTTATTCATTTCTTTAAAACAAAACTTAATTATAAAAATAAAAAAATACAAATACAATGAAATGAAATGCAGCAAAAAGAAGAAAAAATCTTATATCTGCCCCTTTTTTCCTCACGTGTAAATTCAAACAATAAAAATCTTCAGCTAACAAAATGAAAACATCAAATCTTTCTAGAACAACAATTTATATGGATACACATTATACTATTTCAAATTTTTTTAACAGTCCAACCTTTATCATTCACGTACATTGGTTTGATATTTTTAACATCATTTTCCAGATTATTCCACAATCTCACTCCTTGGATTGAGGTGAACTGTTCTTTCAAACTGGTTCTAAATGTAGGTTTTATGAACATCTCTGTCCCCTTAAGATTATAAAAGCTCACTCTCTTTGTAAAGTTTTCTGGATGTTCAAAGGTAATGTATTTTGGTGAGCCTTATACATAACTAATAAAATATTACAATCAACCAAATCTTAGAATTTCAATGGATAATGGTAATGTTTTCAAGTGATAACTCTTATAGCTCTTTTCTGCAAAATAAAAACAGGCTGTGTAACAGTCTTACATGCTTTCCCCCATACCTCAACACAATAAACTAAATGTGGAACACTTGTGTTACATGGCATTTACAGGGCTTTATCATTAAACAAGTCCCTTACTTTGTAAAGCAATGCAATAGATTTAGCTATTTTATATGAGTTTTCCATGTCAGGTTCTCATCAATAATAACATCCAAAAACTTTGCTTCACTGACTCTACTAATCTYTACACCATCAACTCTAAATGGAATATTAACAGCTCTTTGTCTCTTTGTAAATTTCATAATTAATTTTATTCAAATTTAATGATAATTTATTAAGTTTAAACCAATTTTGTATTTTCACAAATTATGTTTGCATTTTTTCTAACATCCRTTCTATGYCTTTACCCAATCAAACAAATGTGGTATCATCTGCAAATRATTTAATTTCACATTTAAAGAGCCCTGAAACATTAACCAAGTCATTCACATATAAGAAATAACTTTGGTCCAAGTACAGAACCCTGATGAACTCCACAAGTAATTTTATAGAGTTCAGATCTTACATCATGTGCTTGTACAAACTGTTTCCTGTTTGTCAAATAACTAGATATCCAATGCAATGCTGGTCCTTTGTGTTTGCTAATGTTGATTAGCTGTGCCAGTATCCTTAACTTAGATTTACAGACAAAAGTTAATCAGTTGTAGATGTACAATGACTACTTTCTGAACGTTTCAACCAACACAGGAATTACATCAAGATCTGACTGAAACAGAAAACTTCCAGTGGTGTGATGAATCAACATTTAAATTTCATTTAGGAACATCTGAATCACTGATTTATTTATTTATTTATTTGGTGCTAAAAGGAACAGAAACCATATAGTTTGTGGTAACCACTCAGCTTAAAAGTTGTGATTGCATAACCGTGCTTATTTGCATATGGGAAGTGGATCTTGTGCACTTAGAGTAGTTCGAGATGTTTGAGTTAAGGCAATCATTTCCCCTCTCATGGCATTTTATAATAACGAGTCATTTACCAGTAAAAACTAAAAGGTGTTTATTTTCTTGTTTTAGTTCCTGCGTGTGGTAGATGCCTGCACAGGCTTCCTGAGTAAGTCCATCCACCTCGAGAGCTGTGTAGAGATTCTGAACCTGGCCGACAGCCACGCTCTGCCGGGCTTGAGGATCAGGGCTCAGGACTTCATCACGTCTCAGTTCTCYCAGGTGGTCCAGCAGCAGGACTTCCTGGAGCTACCAGTGGAGTCTCTGGAGGTCATCCTGCAGCGGGATGACCTGGACGTAAAATGTGAGGAGTGTGTCTTTGAAGCGCTGATGCACTGGCTGAGAGCCCGGCAGGATGAACGTTWTCCCTTACTGACCAGGTTGCTCTCMAAAGTGCGCCTGCCTCTGCTGGATCCAGCATACTTTGTGGAGAAAGTTGAGTCAGATGAGTTGATACGTCACAGCAGTGAGGCCTTTTCTTTGCTGCAAGAGGCTCGCATGTTTCACCTCTCCGGCAGGGAGGTCAGCATACCACCCTCTAAGATCACCTATTATCCTCTATTGATTTATTATTTATTAATACACTCATGTTTGCTTTATAGGTGGTCTCAGAGAGAACTAAACCTCGCGTGCAACACTTTATGTCAGAAGTCTTCCTGATCATTGGAGGCTGCTCTAAAGACGAACGCTTCATTTCCACAGTCATGTGTTTGGACCCTCTGAGACGCAGCCGGCTGGAGGTGGCCAGGCTGCCAATGACAGAGATGGAGGATGAAACYCAAAACAAAAAATGGGTGGAGTTCTCTTGTATCACTTTCCAAAATGAAGTCTACATTTCTGGTGAGAGGACAGGCTTGTGTTTTGTTTTGTTTTTTTTTAAACTTCATCAAAATGTCAAATGAAAAGTAGTTTTCATGTTATATGTCTTTTCTTTTAATTTTTTAATTGTTGCAAAGTTGTATCTGTATCAAATTTCAGGGCATAAAAGTGAACAAACAGGAAGTTGTTGTGGTTTGAGGTGTTTTCCAACCCAGGAACTGACACATCAGCTGTGCCTAACGGTTCAGGATGATGCACGTTGCTAAGACTGAGACTGAGTCATGAAGTTTTTCAACCTTAAAATGATTTTTTTTTATTTTAAGACTTTGATAACATATCTTTGAACAGTAAATATCTTACCTGATACTGGTAGTTCTTTGATTGAACCATTGGMTCATTTTAGGAAGCCTGAGCAGAAAGCGAAAGGATTCTCAAACGATTCTGTTCTTTTAGGAGGTAAAGAGACTCAGCATGATGTCTGGAAATATAACGGCGCTCTTGATAAATGGATTCAAATTGAATCTCTGTCAACTGGACGCTGGAGGCACAAGATGGCTGTTCACGGTGGGAAGGTGTAYGCACTGGGAGGATTTGATGGAGTTCAGAGACTTGCAAGTGTTGAGGCCTATGATCCGTTTCACAATCGCTGGACACAGGTAATTTACATGTAACTTTATACTGAATGCTCCTCAAGATGGTTTGTATTGTTAGTAAATATCCTTTTATTTTAGTTTCATATCTTGCATATTTTCTTCTTAACGCACTTGCTGCAGGCAACACCTCTTGCGATGGGCGTCAGCTCATTTGCTGCTGCAAGCTATGACAGATGGATCTTTGTGATTGGTGGTGGTCCCAATGGGAAACTAGCAACAGATAAAGTTCAGTGCTGGGAGCCAGGGACGGACAGCTGGGAACTGAGGGCCCCCATTCCATCCGAAACCAAATGCACTAATGCTGTTACATTCAAGAACTGCATTTATATAGTTGGTAAGTTTAAAGGTGTGAAAAAATCTCAAACAATGCAACATGTTTAAAATAGGAACCAAAAAAATGGTTAWAAAATGGGTATGTGCAGCAATAAACTGAGGACATTTTAAGTTATCATTTTAAATTTTATGCAAGTAAACATTAGACAATGATTCAATGGGGAAATAAAAGACTGAGCAAATTGTTGAAAGTAACATCATAAAAAGGTAAAACTCTAAAGTCTAGATGGTGTAACTGAAAACGGTAAAGTTATTGATTTTTCCCACATAAACCAATGATTTTAGACACAAATGTAAGTTCTAAAACCAAAAAGATGCTTTGAGTTCAGTTGTTTTCTATAGAAAATATGAAACTCTTGATTTGTATGAAATGAGGCATAAAAGCTGCAGATTGTTGCTCCTCATATGCAGATTGTGTGTGAAAGCATGGAACAGGGCTTACGACAGTAGCTCGCAAAGTTGGAACCAGTTCCTTCTGGAATGTAAAACAAAACGTTTTTGGTCTAAAGGGGGAAAAAAGATTGCTAATGATAATTTTTACCATTATTTTTGAGAAATATTCAAACTTRAAGTTAAAAGTACTAGTCTAAGGGAAGTTGCCATTATTGTGCCCGTGTTTTATTGAGGGTTACAAGTCCCTGCTGTTGCCATTTTGTGGGTCGGAAACAAAAAAAAAGAAAAAGGTTTGGGAGTCATTGTGCTAAGAGTAAGTAAGTAAAGAAGTTACTACATCCATCCTGACATATATCTTTAGACTCCTGTGGTTCAAAATTAAACCTTTTTTGTTGCTGTTGTAAATGATGAATGCTGCAYCCTCTAGAGACATGGAGCACCTGGCTTGTGTTGGTACACTCATACTGTTTAAAGGCGCTGATGTATCCACGTTTCTGACAGGAAGTCTCACAGCAGTGTGTTTCTGTACTAAAACCAAAATTCACGGTGATAAAATGTCCTTCCTGTGATGACTCAACCAATTATTTGACACTCTCCGAAAAAAAAAAAAGATTGAAAAGGCTGAAGCGTTGAGCAGCAAAACTATTATCAGAATCTGGTATATTTAAATTCTTTAATCACCATTACACAGGTAGATGTGAGCATGTCAATCACAAAGTGAGACAACTTAAGTGTTAAACAGTAGATATTTAGTTAGACAAGAATTCTATTTTAGCAAAGTGTTGTTAAACGGTTGCAGTTTTTCATTGTCTGTGTTTTCAGGTGGTGCCATGAATGCCATGTACTGCTACTCCCCTCTGTCTGACTCCTGGTCGCTCGTGACCAGTCTGGGGGAGAGGGCGAGCTGTGCCATCGCGGCCTGCAACAACAAACTTTTTATCACCGGTGGAAGGGACAACAAGAACCAAGTCATCTCCACAGTGATGTGCTGGGACGTCGACAGAGGGGCGTTGACGGAGGAGTGTGTTTTACCGATGGGGGTGTCTCACCATGGCAGTGTGACCCTCATGAAGTCCTACACACACATTCACAGGATATCCCCCCAGTCAGCGTGCCAGTGACACGGGGACTTTAAACTTTAAACAACAGTTAAAATGGTGTGGAAAACTGCACTTTTGTTTTTGAGAGATCAACTTGCAAGAGGAGTTACTGTATGTTCAATAATGTAAGCACTCACAAATTTAGAAGGAAAAAATAGTTTTAGGATTTTTTTTYCCGTTAAATGGATTTTTATGTCTCCCCTGATCGTACTTTACGAAAGCCGAGAGCGTCCATTTTCCACAATTATTTTTTTCATGGTTTTCTCAAGATAACACATGTCGTTGTCACAAAATAACAAGGAGTGTTTTATCGAGATAACGAGTTATGGTTTTCTTGTGCATCATTCACTGGAGATGACCCGATCCCCTCACCTGGTCACCGAAAAAGTTTATCATATCAGCAGGATCATTGTATAAACACCTGCTGATCTGCAGTCAGACAGCTGTTTCCTTAAATGATGAGGGCTAATATGAAAGTTATTTGTACAAGACAAACAAATCACAATATTATCCCGCGTAATGGTACAAAAATGACAAAATTATGTACGGCTGCCTTCAGGCCCAGGCCGCCATTGCAAAAGAGATCTGCGATCTCAATGGGATTTGCTTGGTTAAATAATGGATGGTAAATAAATAAATAAATAAATAAATAAATAAATAAATAAATAAATAAATAAATAAATAAATAAATAAATAAATAAATAAATAGTAAACTTTGTCGATGACCAGCTGAAGGGACCAGGCCATCTGAATGATACACAAGAGGAAAGCAATCAGGACATTAACTCGTTATCTTGAGAAAACGATCCTCGCTATTTAATGTCTTTATCACGAGAAAACAATGGAAAATAATTATATGCAGAAAACGGGCGCTCTCATCTTCTGTGGAATTTACATAAACAAAATATGAMTACAGAAATCATTTCGCAGTTGATCTGTGTTTACCCATTATTGAAATAATTTCCAGCTTGAAATAACATGAATAGTTTAAAGTCAGGAACACTAGCTAAATYTTTATTATTGCGCTGCAACTGACTTCCACTGCATTGCTTTATATTAAATCTGCCTTTGTTTAAACTTTATGATTTATAATTTAACATTATATGGCAATAATAAATATGTGATTTTAACCCTGGTTGCAARTGTTTAAAAATAAAAACTGAAAGCATATATCTGAAATGTCAAGCTTTTTTTTTTTAAGGCACATTCTCCACAAACATAGGATTTCTGATTTTCTAAAAGGGATTTTCTTAGAACTGAAACCACACTGATWTCTGTGGTCTCACATTCCTTGGAAGCCAGACAGGCCGATAGGAAATGAAGGTCGTTTCTGGTCAATTTTCAAAATAAAGTAGGCCCATTGTTTTTCTTTCTTTTTTCTTTTTTTTTTTTGACACTCAGTGTAGTTTTGAACACCGTATTCTCATTACACATTGCATTTGTGGAAAATGTGAGAAACTACAATTAGCTGGAAATCGTTTACTGAGTTGGAACACACAGTCAGGAAACACAAAATGTATGTTTTTATAAAATCGAAAAAGCTGCTTAAATCTGGTTTTACAAGACAAATTTATTTAGAGGCATAATCACTACGTAAATTTAGACGCGGCGCGTTTGTGTTCATTAAACAATGCGAAGACTTTTATTGTGAAGAGTTCAAGTACAGGAAACCCAGGTGTTTCTCAGGTACGTCACGAATGAAGCTCGTGCTTCTAGCTGCAGCTGCTCTTCTTTTTAGCTCTGACGTTTATTTGAAAGTTAAGTCGGACTTAGAGAAGTGCTTGTTTTTATGGTTTTAGTTGTTGCTGCACCTCTGCGGTCTGCTCACAAACTGAAAGTTACTTGAGTCTGCGCCAAAACTGAGGCTTTTCCCCAAAAAATGTATCGAGGATATCTCTTCGCCTGCTGCTGCGTCTTTACCGCTAGTCAAGGTAATTATTAACATGTTTTTAACATGCTGACTTCTGTTTGAACATAAAACAGAGTAGGATAAACATTGTAAATCTAAACAAATCTTTGCGCATGCCCCACCCCCCATCCCATATTCATTCTGCGTTCCTATTGGACAAATGTGTCCATCAATTAGTTTGTTATTTTTTAATAGTTTATGTTAGGACAATTAGGCTAATATATATCGGTAATGTTGGGTCTATAGTGATGTGACTAACTGAAGTAGTTCTTTGCAAAAGCATATTTCTAATTTATTAATATTTCTTAGTGTCTGAATTGATATTTAAACATTGCATTGATCTTATCTTCCTGTGTTGGTGGTTTATAACACAACAGTTGCACAGATGTGAGTCGTAATAACATACCGATAAACATGCCAGTATAAAGTTGTTCAAAGTTGTGTGGTCCCTGGTGAAATAGCCTAGTTGAACTTTTGATCCACTACTGAAAACTTTAAGGGGACACTGTTGGAGGTGTACCAATATATTGATCCATATTGAGATATTGATTACATGATTAATGATTCAATTACATCAAGGGGAAAATAAAAAAAAAAGATCCACATTGTCACCTAATGCCTGATGTGGRTCAATATATTGATGACAGACTTGTGAACTGAATTGAATCAGAATTGTGTCATGACAGGCTGATATTGACAAACATTGTATGTCAGCCATGTAAATCCATATAATATTGTACTGTGATAAAGCAGGTGATTTGCACCCCAAGCACAGGAGCAAGACATCATTAAAAATAGCATACATCACCACACAGCTGTGGCTGGCTACCATTGTGGGGCGACTGTGGAAGAGTAGTTAGGGTAGTTGACCTGTAACCATTGTGTTGCTGAATCGACCCCCTTTCCAGCTGTCTCAGTTGTGCCTTGCTTGCTGGTGGTGGTCAGAGAGGCCGGTGGATAATGGTAGAGGAAACACTGGTATATTACCTACAGAACAACAACAGTGCTAATATTTTTTGCTTATTGCGTTGAAAGTGACAGCAGAACAACCCCATTTACATGATCTCATCTAATTTGGCACTTGTTGCTGCATATACATTTAAAGATTGTGTGATTCATTATTAACTTGCGTAGAATAAAGAGAGTTATCTAAAAAAAAATACAGAGCAATATTTAATAAACTTGATAATGGTTTTGTTGCACTATCAAAAAGAAAAAAATAAGTAGGGCGTCTGGATGGGTTCTTCTTTAGTGAAACGTTTCGTCTCTCATCCAAGAGACTTCTTCACTCTGATGATTTTCAGGTGAACTCAGCCTTATAAGCACTGCCTCCACAAGGTGGACAAACAGGTTAGTCACATGCAAAAGAGGGCCATTGCGTAACAATAGGCTTGATTAGTTCTACTGTTCATAGAGGGTCATGTGCCCCATCAACTGACCCCTGTCAGCAAAAGGGATGAATCAGGGCCCCAACGATAACTAACACAAAGAGGGAAAAAAACAGAAACAAGGGGACTTTGAGCCCCGCCTGCATTCACTACATACTCACTACATACACGTGACACTACACCTAAGAACCACAGTAACCAAACCAATGACAGATGATGGGGCACATGACCCTCTATGAACAATAGAGCTAATCAAGCCTATTGCTAGGCGATGGCCCTCTTTTGCATGTGACTAACCTGTTTGTCCATGTGGAGGCAGTGCTTATAAGGCTGAGTTCACCTGAAACTCATCAGACTGGAGAAGTCTCTTGGAGGAGAGACGAAACGTTTCACTAAAGAAGAACCCATCCAGACGACCTACTTAATTTTTCTTTTTGATTTTTTCTACCTGGATTACTGAGATGCATCAAGACATTTTGTTGTACTAGTTTTTGTTTTACTCTTGTGTAACTCAACAAGTTTTCAGCTGCACACCTTGACCTCTACATTCCTGACATGAAATGAGAATAGGTCTCATTCTTTTGCCTGCACTTTCGTCTAATGCAGTGACCCGTAACCTCTTTCTAGTTCTGGTTTGTCAACAATTAGTCTTTTTCTTATGTTGTTAGTGTCCATGGGAGGACGTAGAAACTAATAGCAGACTTGTAGCGATGAGGAAAGGACTATAAAATAAAATGCTTTTAATAAAAGAAAACAAAAACATAGGGCAACAAAACTTACAGATACACAGATGACTGGGACCAGTGGTGTCGAAACCATTCAATGAATTTCTGCGTAGGCGGTGGAAGGAGATTGAATGTATAGAGTTAAACTGATGGGATGTTGGAATGGCTGAATTGATAGGGGAGTGGTGACAGGTGTGAATAACAATGGGTGGAAAAACACAGAAGCTGACTGCAGGTAAACTGAGAAGTGACACAGGAAAACACAGAGGCTAAACAGGAAACAAGAAAATAAAGCAAAAATACCAATCAAACCTAGTCGGAGGAGATTTAAGTATCACAACTCTTTCTGCCATGTTTAAAGATAAGAAATCTCTGAAAATCTCAAAATCAAATCGTTATAGATTAAAAAAAAATTAACCCATTTGCTCCATTTCGTGTTTTATTTTAAGAGGAACATCAAGAAAGGGATGTTAACATTCAATACATACATTTTTTATTGTTTGATACCAAATTTGATAGACCAAACTCCAATCCTTAAAAGAACGCTGAAGATATTTTCTTTTAAGTAGCAGTTTAAGACTTGTATGGCACATTAAGAAGATAATACCTCCTCACTATTATCCATTATATGTCAGTGTTTTTCTAGACACAAACTTCAAAAGTGACAGAATAAATCTTCCTCTTTTCACACTAAACTTAGCATTTTGTAGAAAATTTGAAAGTCTATGTAAAGCATTAGGTTTCCAGTGAGAGAAAATGATGCAATTCTTTGACGAACTTTTATCAGGTTGTGGTTGATGTGTCAGATTGTGAACTGAAAAGGGAAGCTGCAATTAATTGTGCTTAAAAGACAGAAAACACATTAGTCATTTTTACGTGTCCTGATCATCTTTAAAGCTGGAAATAAACAAATGCCTGTTGGGTAATATACTTTTTTATAATGTTGCTCTTGCAGGTGAAGGAACACATCAGTTTTTCTTGTATCTTCAAGGTTGAGTTTTATAGCATTGATGGAACGTGTTTATTCAGCAGTAAGCTTCATCCTGATAAAAGCAGTTTGCATGTTGTGTGCAGCTGAGACCTTGAGCTGAAGTTGTTGTCAGTTGGTGTTTTGCTTCACTTGTTTATTTACTTTGCTATTTTGTGTCCAGTTGCAGGAGAAAATCTAATATATGCTCTCCTGGGGAAGACGGCTTGCTTCAATACGGACATCAAAACTCCTCCAGATAAGATTCTGTGGACGCATAATAAAAACAAACTGGTGGAGTTCAACGGACACACGGAAGAAGTGTTTGGCTCTTTCAAAGACAGGATCAGTATGGACTGGCATTCTGCTGATCTGAATATTAGTACAGCCAGATATGAAGACAGCGGTCTCTATGAATTGGAAACAAACACTAAGACAGTACTTCAACGTGCCCAGTATAATTTAGAAGTCATCGGTAAGTGCTTAGATTTATATTTTTTAACCATCTGCCTCAACTAGCTGTGATCAGAGAGGACAGGGAAGAGACAGACAATCAGTAGTTGGGAGTGTTTTGGCGTCACTCCCAACAGATAATCTGTTTTTACAATTTTTGTTTTTATACATAACCCAGAATAAATGATATTGAAAGTGACTTTGATCCTCAAAAAAAAAAAACAGTTTATTTTGACAACTAAAGACATAAGTAAATCATAAAATGATACAGACCTTTTTTTGACATAGTTTATTTAGGGATTATAGTTATATACTTCTTCTTTTTTTTCCTGAGAAGCCCTTTGTTACCATGGAGTAGTATTATTGAACAATTGCAACAAATAATCCACATAAAAAATATTGTTCTTGTTTTGCATTTACCAATTTGACTTAATGTATTTCTTCAGACAAAGTACCCAAACCTAACATATACTGTGAGATGATGAAAGGAAACGGCTCAGGTGAATCGGGACACAAAGCCACCCTGATGTGTTCTGCTGAACAGTCTCAGTCTTTGTTGACGTTTACCTGGAGCCCAAGTCTAAATGGGCAGCTTGGCCCAAAGTTGATAATACCTCTTGGAGATGAAAATGACAATGAAGAGTACAGCTGTACTGTGCACAACCCGCTCAGTGAGGAATCTGCAATATTCATTGCTAAGAAGTGCTATTCTGGTAAGATTTGACTAAAACACTTGGTGCATGAAACTCATAAAGAAACCTGATAGTGGTTGGTGTTTTATTTTACAAAGGATGTAATGAAATAAATAATTCATCATAAATAAATCATAAGCAATAATAAATTAACCCTTTGAGTCAATATTTCTTATTTGACAGTAGATTAAAATGTTTAAAATAACTGTTGTATGTATTGGTGAAGTTTTGGGTATGAAAGTCTCCAATTTTGTGTCTTCCCAGATGAAAACATTTCAGTCCCAGTGATTGTTGGCATTTGTGTTGGCTGTGTAGTAGCACTGATTTTGATCATAGTTGGGATCCTCCTGTGTCGTAAAGGTACAGTCCTAAATATCACTTTCACTTAAGTAACAGATTAAACAGTAATGTATTTTATCTGAACTATTTGATCTAGTCAAGAGACAAAGTCACCACATTTATTTTTGTTATAAAAGCTATGAACAATTAAGAAAAGAAGGTTCTTTCTTGTATAAAGACTGAAATTTAGCATTTGTACCCTATAAATATACAGCAATATTCAATAAACTTGTTACTAATGACATTTAGTTTCATAAATTATATAAAACACAGTTATGTGTAATTGAATTTGTTTATTGAAAACATTTTAAAGGTGAGACGACATACGACTTGGAAAAACAGAAACCGTGTGAAATAACAGAAGGTATGTCCCTTAACTTCTCTAGTTGCAAAAAATAAATTCTTCCCTCCAGTAAAATGTTAATCACAATATTATATGATGTTTAATTGTTTAATTGAGAGATAAAAAGCAAAGTTTAAAAAAATGTATTGAAACAGCATCTTTTATCAGCTGACCTGTTATCAAATCTCTGGGGCTGTTTGATTTAAACTAAATGTGTCGGTATAGATTTGTGTGAACATAAATGGACAGTTTGACTAACAAGTTTCTCTTTCTTGTACCCCTCAGGGGCAGGAAATGGTGATCTGGAAACGGCGGGTCTGTTGGACCGAGCGCCCACTCTGCCTTCAAATCAGCGACTCAGTCATTTAGTCCGAAACAATAAAGGCTCTCATCTCACTCAAGATGGTAAAGATCCCAAACTGCTTTTTGTTTAATTAAACCTTTTTACTTTACTTTGTTTTTACATAGCAAAATAAAATGGCAATACAATTAGAGCAACACCTCAACTGGTATTTACGATGGTGAATGAATTGTGTTGTGATCTTTTACAGCTCCATATATGAACGAGCTGAGGATGAGCATTCACAAGCGACCAGGTGCAGGTAATCTTCTTTTAACATTTGTTTCTGTGCCCGTTAAATATTCAGTAATTATGATAGAAAATGTAAAAGTTGCAAATGGTAAATGGACTTTACTTACATGGTGAACAAGTTGATGTCTTCAACCTTTCAGAATTGCTTAATAACAGCCTTATGTACGGAATAAGAGGGATTGCAAATGTCAAGCTTATTAAATTTGACAATCATGATTGCATTGATATATTTATTGGTATCTTACAACTTTTTTCTTTATTGATTATATTTAGAGAACAAAAACCAAGACCTCAGCACTTTGTCTTCTCCTTCACCTGAAAAACCTTCTCGATCGCAGGATCTTTCTGCAGAGGCCAAAGATCAAACTGATGGAGAAACTGTTGAAGTGATTTTAGAGCTTGAGCCTGCAGACTCTGGGAAGATAAACGATGCAATGTCCAAACAAGGTGAGTAGAAAATTAAATTTATTTATTACAGGTTTGAAAACGACACTGTTCAAACTATATTTCCAATTAATTTCTGATGTCAGACATTAAATGAAAATGTACAATTTGGCATTAAAACGCTCTTTTTCACACAACGGATGAGGTGTTTTTTTTTTCTTAAACGTGGGACATGACACCCACATTTTCTTTTCTTCAGCTTTTTCACCATTTTTTTTCCAACCAATGACTGTGTGGCCAGTAGGAGGCTAGTTTCTCAAAATTATTTGTGTTTTTGTGAAATGTGTTTTTGTGCCACAGAAGTGGCAAATCTGAAATTAATTCAAACCTTTGGAAAACAAATGTTTTTACTTAGGTATTTATAAAACTAGTAACCTTTCTTCAAACCTGCAAGTTAAAAGAGTAATCTCCAAAATAWTCTTGCAGTCAAACCATGAAAAAGTCACTCTTGTGGAACAATCTGTCACACTTTTACCTTTCAAAACCATCTGGGCGTTCTCTGGTCAGGAGCTAGATGTAATGCTTGTGACAGCCTGTTAACGGGTTTTGTTTTTATCACAACAAGAAAGCCTGAAGCCAGTTGTGACATATTCTTTGGGCTGAATGTAAAAGCAACCTGAAAATGCTGTTTGACCAGTCTGGGTGCAACTGCATGTTTTAACATGATGAGATGGAAAAAAGTCTACTTGTTTAATCTAAAAATCAGTTACCTGTTTGCAAGTTGTTCAAGATGTAAAGATTTATTTTACTTCATGAAATCCCACAAAACCCAGCTGCACATGTCAGGGCAATGACTGTTTCTTTGCATGTTTGATGCACAGAGATCTTAGATAATCATATGAGTGCTGTGTYGTTTTGTTTTTTTTTGAACAAATTTAATTTTGACAACCTATGTGCACTTGCTGAGATTTTTGATAATCTTCTCAAGAGGCTCAAGGGCACTGAAGTGGGAGTATTGGTTCTTTTGTCTGCATGTGGCTGTACACAATTTAATAATRTAAAACTAGTAAAACTAGATTGTTTTACGTAAAGCCTGCATTAAAATGAAGAGAAGAACTTACTGCTGAATACTGAATGAACTTCATCTAAATTAAAATGCAGGACACTGACAGCAGTGAAAATAACAGAGTTTTTTTAAGCAATAACAAATTTGTAATAGTCTTAAATTTATCTAAATATTAAGAGCTTATATTAACATTTTTGTAAGATTTTTTTTCAGAATAAGTAAATTAATTTAATTGAATTAAAACAGTTTTTGAATATTTTGTTTAATTTTGTGGCTCATATTCAATATTTTCTACACATGATGCAATTCATTAGCTGTTTGTGAATTACCTATTGATAAATGTTTGTGTAAATGTGATATATGTGGTGTCCAACACAAATTTTGACACCACATCTTGATAAATTGTTTGATCTTCCCCAGAGGAGACATACATTTGTTTGACTTTAGAGAATGACACGATTGCACCTGATTGGCAGCATTTGGAGTTACCAGGAGCTCAAAGCAAGTGTCAACAACAAAATAAGCTGTTTGGCAGAGAAGATTTGGCAAATGTTTCATGTGCACAAACCACAAACTCAGCTCTACTGGTCATCCCACAAATGCTGAAAGAGAAATTAAGTATAAGATTTATTATCAAGAGGCATTGTTACAGCAAATAAATGATCTACCAAACACAAATCTGCTCCTTTTTGTGCTAATATAGAATTGAAATCATTCCATTTGTGCAACTCTATTAATCAAAAAGGTACTTTCTTCTACAGTGGTTGTTAACATCACAGYGCTCCGGAATGCATTTAGATTTAAAACAAAGGGTGGTTATAGGTTCTTAAATTTTTACCCCTTTTTTCATTATTTTCTGTATTTCTGATGTAGAGCTGGACAAAACTGTTTTATCTCCCTTCCAGGTTTCCTGCAGATCCTTAAAGTTTTAAGTCATTGAATTAATCAATCCAAAAATAAGGCCTTAATTAGACTCAAAATGTCTTAAATCAGTCTTTCAGAAGTCTTAAATTTTTTTTACCACATTTTAAGTAGGATGATTGTAATTTATCTCAAATATTAAAATAATTGGTGACATTTTTTTTAATATTCACATGCAGACACTCCACTTTGACATCACTTCCTGTTAATTCATTTGCAAACTGTCCATCTGAGCAATGTGAAATTTGTTTTGTAATATGTTAATAATGTTGTTATTCCAAAAATGCATTCACCTTTCTTACAAAAACGTGATTTCACGGGCACTTTAATGTTTCATTTACAGCGAATTGGGGTTTAGACCCCACTGTGGGCCCTAAAACTTCAAAGTTTGGGTTGTTAGAGGATTTCCAGAAATTAAATTAAGTTTAAAACTGACTGCTAAGAAGGTTTCTGTTATAGTTATGTATGGATAAAAACAATTGGTCTATTAGCAATATTTGACTACTTCAACCAAAAATACTTTGTSAGTTCATGAGTTTCTGCCACAGTTTTTATTTTTATCTTTTAATTTTTGTCATTCGTGTTTATTATGAAATTGGTCTTAAATTTAATTTCATTTGGCATTAAAACGTCTTATAATGTCTTAAATTGAACTTGGCTTAAACTGCAGGAACCCTGCCCCTCGCTCCTGAACAGCCTCCTCACCAGGATCCTGCAGAACCTGCTGATGAAGACGAGCTTAGAGAAGCTGTGGAGAAGGTGTTACCTGGTGAGCTGGTTGACCACAGGGAAAAAAAATATCATCCACTGATGTTAAACAGCCCAGGTTAGAAACTAACCTTTGCTAACTAGATTTAGAAATCATTTTAAATGAATATTTTTGTTTAAAATGTACAGTTTGACACAGAAAACAAAATGTAAATMCACATCAGTTAAAAGGTAACATTTGTAGCTTTTTAAACTTCCTTCACTTAAGTTTTGAAGTATGAATTAACTAAAAGTATTATCTATATTAAAAAAGATTAAGAAGCTCTCGATTTACCGGTCGATCTACGTTCCTACCCTCATCTATGGTCATGAGCTTTGGGTCATGACCGAAAGAACGAGGTCCCGGATACAAGCGGCCGAAATGAGTTTCCTCCGCAGGGTGGCTGGACTCTCCCTTAGAGATAGGGTGAGAAGCTCGGTCATCCGGGAGGGACTCAGAGTAGAGCCGCTGCTCCTCCACGTCGAGAGGAGCCAGTTGAGGTGGCTTGGGCATCTGGTAAGGATGCCTCCTGGACGCCTCCCTGGTGAGGTATTCCGGGCACGTCCCACCGGGAGGAGGCCCCGAGGAAGACCCAGGACACGCTGGAGGGACTATGTCTCTCGGCTGGCCTGGGAACGCCTTGGAGTTCCCCCGGAGGAGCTGGAAGAAGTGGCTGGGGAGAGGGAGGTCTGGGCCTCCCTTCTGAAGCTGCTGCCCCCGCGACCCGACCCCGGATAGGCGGAAGAAAATGGATGGATGGATGGATGGATGGATGGATGGAAAAAAGATTAAGAGAGATTAAAAATTATTTTATACATAGAAAATCAGTTTAATTTGTGTAGCATCAGTTCCCAACAAACATTTTAGTTTGTTTCAAGTCACATGATTTTAATGAAACCAAATAAAACTCAGGTTAAATAAACAGATTCTGTCAGAACAAAAGAAAAAAAGCCCAAAGACAGTCTTTACAAAATGCAGCTTTACCTTTTATCAACAGTTGTCACACATGTAATTTTCACTATGTTGTTTTTATTTATTTCACTAAACTAAAAAGTTAAAAGTGATCTCTCCTGTCCAAAGTGTTCGGCTAATTAATTTCACTTATTTTTGGTAAAGCTCAGCATCTTCATGCACTTTTTTTCTGTTTCAGTTTTAGAAAAGAGTACAAAGAAAAGGGCTCCAAATCCTCCCCCTGTGGCCAAAAAAACAGCCTCTGTTAACAATGAAAAAACACAAGTGGATGAAAACAAGCCCCCAGAGGAGACCAAAGACTTGCCTGATCAGAGTGAGTACATTAACTTCTGCTGCTGAAAACCACGTTAGGGTTAGATTTTCAGTTTTCCATGCAGAAAGTTTTTGTTTAAACAATTTTTTTTTTTTTTTTGAGATCTGATATCCGCTATGAAAGATTGTGCCATTTTTTAGATACAGTGGGTGAACGCTCACCCTCCTCCTCGATGATTGGTCGCACCAGTGCGACCGGACATTTTTTTAGTCGCACTATTAGGAAATCTGGTCGCATTTGTAACCAAATTGGTCGCTCTCTAGAGCCCTGTTTTTCTGAATGGACATTAGGTAGTACCCACAGCAGAGCAACAGCAGAGCAAAAGCTGACAGTGGCTGACTTTCAGATCTGTGTGGAGGTAGATGAGAAGCCGAGCTTTTCCACTAATCTTATCTAAATATTGTCTGATCTCCCAGAATTTAGAAAAACTATGCTAATAAATCAGCCAGACGATTTATAAGTGCCCCTCTCCATAAAAGTATACAATAAAACAAATTAATGTGACTAATTAAACTTTACGTAAACCATTCAGCTAAAAGCTTGTCTGAACAACGGTGTCTTAACCTGTTAAGCCCAAAGGGGTTTTAGAGTTAATTTCCACCTGAAAATACACCAGCAAAATAAGAATAATAAGAATAGCTCCACAGTTATAAGGTCTAAATGCTAACTGTTGGTACCTCTGTAAAGGTAAGATCTTAAACATTATTTCTTAAGTGAGAGACTATTGTAACTTTTACTGTGCCTGAGTTATTTGTGATTAAAGAAAATTTGTAATTTGTTTTAGCCTCGCCTAAATTTTTTTAAAATCAACATTGTAAAACACAATGAAAACTCTTGTGAAAACCCAGGAATGCCCTTAAATTTTATACATCTACATCTTTGAGAAAAATTGTAGCAAAGTAGGACTGAATAAGTTGAAGTATATTTATTTCACAAATGTTTTAGTGAGCAGTGTGCCAGGCGGAAATGGCATTTTGGCACAATTTAGCCAAATGTACCCAAAACTGTGCCAAATGGGATTTTTGTTTACAACAGGGAATCTGGTTTAATAAAAGTGTTGATTTATATTGTAGGACTCATTCTGCTTATGACATAACCTTTTCTTTTTATATTTACACTGTGCATCATCAAAATCTACTATCATACTATTCACCCACGCGCCTACAGAAATGTAACTCCGCCTCCACGTTTTACGCATGAGGGCTGTAATTTATGCTCTCGGTTACGCACAAACTTCACGTCACCAAACTAAGAGTAACACAGTGTCAAGATATATCCCTGAATTCGTGAGAGCTTCATCTTTTCAAATATACCAAAGGAAGGGGTATGGAACTTGCACAGTAACAGATGCTGAGAACTTCCTGATACTGAAACGGTCCGCGACGGTTCAAGTAACTTACAAATGTTTATATAGCTCTAAAATCACAAATATTTACCCCAAAATAATTTGGCGACTCATTTTAAAAACATTAAAGACACCTTTTGTGACGGACTTAAATTTTTTTTGGGAAAAATAAGTTTTACACCAACTTTAGCAAACAACAATGCAATGACACCATCTGCTGGCCCTGWACAGAGCTCGTAGGGTAGAACAGCTTTTAAGCTGCATCCTAAAGAGGTCAACACAGGTCCCCTCAAGTCTTGAACCTGGTTTTAGGAACTTTCAGGAAATTTTTTGTTTGAAGAATGAAGAATATGGAGTCAACTGTAATACTGTATATTGAGAGACCTGTCCAGAGATCTAGAGAGATCTAAAAGTCAAAATTTTAAAATAAGTTCTGAATTTAACAGATAGCCAATGTAAAGTGGATAAAACTGGTGTGCCCTTCTGTTAAAAGCCTTGCTGCAGTGTTCTGTAGCAACTGTAAACAAGTGAGCGCAGATTTGTTAAAACAAAAAGCTACTAAAGTCTAAACCAGAAGAGATGAAAGCATGAATAATAATATCAGGTCAGATTTAGTTACAATAACCCTCAATTTAGAAATATTTCTTAAGTGATAAAAACTGTTTCTAACCAATTGTCATGAATGGCTGTCCAGAGACATTGACTAGTCAAATAAAACATTAAGGTTTCTGAGACTGGACTGGCAAGAGGAGCCCAGAGAACCAAGGTGTTGTTTTGATCAAAGGAAGTTTCTGCTCAGAAACTCTGATCAGAGATTCGTCTTACTAGAATTTAATTGAAGACAGGTTTTAGCTCGCCAGTCCTCAATACAAGAGACATAACTTAGAAGGTCAGCTAAATTGAAGAACTCTGACTCATTAAAAGAGCTGTACAGTTGAATATCATCCAAATCGTCCATCGACATACAAATGGTAAGACACATTTTTTTTAAAGCTGCTGATAATCTCACCCGGGATGCTGATGTACAGAAGGAACAGTATTGGGTCAAGTACTGAGCCCTGTGGAACACCWTGTAACAGAGGAGAGGCATCAGACTTTGTTATTTACAAACACGGAAAAGGATCTGTTAGGTCGTATTCAGACCTGATAATTTGCTCCGCTTTAAACGAACCAGAGTTCGTTTCCAGCGTTGGTCCGGACCTTTTGTGCAGGTGTGAATACACTCATGCAAACTCTGGTGCGGATCAAACAACCGGACCGAGACCCGCTTTTTGGGGTGGTCTCGGTCCGCTTCCAAACAAGCTCTGGTGCGGTTCGCTTCAGTTTGCTTCTGGTGTGAATACAGACCGGACTCTAACCGAACCATCTGCATTAAACATGCACCTTTTTGGACTTCACAGGCCACCGTTGCTGAGCTAAATAAACTGAAAACATACCTGTTTCGTCGTCTCCTGTTAGCCGCTCTACTGCCGGCATGTTGTGGGTCAGAACACACAGCGCACCTCGTCTCCTTTGGGTCACGGGACACATTTACTGACGTCGCTCCAAAATTAGAATATCATCACGAAACCACCATTAAATTAGCTGCTTTTGACATTTTAAATGTTATTGCAGTTGTACTATCAGCAAAAATGTGCACATCAGAACCGCAGCATGCAGGACTTCCTTGTTTTCTTCTGGATCTGTGGCTCAGTCCCGCCCCCGTCCTTTTTTTTGTCCAATGGGAGCAATGATCGTCACACTCGTGGCTTTGTTTACAAGTTATACTTCATTTGCAAAAAAGCACAATGTGAATGCAAGCTGCACCAAATGAAAAAAAAGTCCATTTTTGGTCCGAACCAAACAATTGGACCAAAGGACTTTCCTGGTCTGAATACACCCTTACACAGATAAGAACAAAACTAGAGAAAAAAACAGTTCCTGAGATACATCTCATGTTGTAATCGATGAAATAAAATTTTGTGGTTGACTGTATCAAAAGATGAGATCAGGTCCAATAAAACCAATACACTGTAATGACCAGAGTCTGCAGTCTTCAATATGTTATTGGAAACTTTCAACAAGGCAATTTCAGCAGAATTCATACTTTTTTCACACGAAAGCTGTCAGAGAAAAAGAATGCTTTTTATGTATTGTTACCCACAGAGATGATAAAAAAGACGTGGACGTTCGTTCAGTCATGAATTCATTTTGCTGATGTCAGCTCCTTAGAGAGCAGCAGAGCAGCAGCCTATTAGTTCAGCAGGCAGAAGCTCATTGTATGGCAGGCAGATATTACATTTACTTGGCTTCACCACACTTACATTCCAGTTGTTTGAAATTGTTTTATGATTAGGACTATGTGCACGCTTAAGCCTGTTAAGGTCCTTAAGGTCACACTATAATATTTTAGGCAACTTATACCAACTTAGTATGATTTTATGTCTAAATGACTAATTTTACTTGAAGGACTGGTTATAACATCCACTTTATTTAGATATTGTTGAAAACTTGAGAAATCATTTTGTTTGTTGTTGAAGCCATTTAGCATTATACTGTATATAAAACATTATTTTGTACTTCTGTTATGTGCATTTGCACTGCAGCAAAAATGCTGGGTTTGATTTTGATTACATTTTTCTGCAAAATAAAAGCTCTAAAAATTACATTATCTTTGCTTTTTATGATCATATTCCACCGCAATATATACCGTTACCATGAAGGGATTCAGTTTATACCATGATATGAATTTGAGGTCATACCGCCCAGCCCTACTTTCAGGTATTTTGCAGTATGAGCCAATTACACGTGACTGAATTTATATTTTCAATATGGGTAAAAACACAATAAGGATAAATGYATTAATTTAAAGTGACAGTCTCCAAAGGATGTGACATGTTACCTTACATTTAAATATCTGAGAGAAAGTGACCTGAAACCACACCTGACCTTGTTGGTACCATCGGTGCTTCACCCATCTTCAGAGTTTTATAATATTCCTCTTGGTAGTAATCTTACTGAATGACAGCTAGCAGATTAAATTTGACACGACAAAATGACTTCCTCTCTTTTTATCCTGTTTATTTAGTGTAGTCTTCTTGTTTAGCAAGCTTTGTTCTTTCTGTCATTGTGTGTTTTTGCACTGTAAAGCTCTTATTTAAACTGCCATTGTTTTACACAAAGGGAATACAATAGGATTACTATGAGTTGTGTAGCTGATGCAGAGTTCTTGTGTCCTGAACACCACCACCACTCAGGTTAGGTTGTGTGCCTTTAATAACAGAGTAGGGATAAAGAAGTTCAGCCTCAGCAGTTACAGTTTTATTTATTCATGATGTTCATTTAAAAAAAGACAAACACAGAACCAGCAGTGGCTCATCTGGAATAACTAACGTTTCTCAGTTTTGACAGATTCAACTCTCTTTACACAAACATGTCACAACCAGGAAGAAAAGCTGAATTTGATTAACTAATACAGTCCGTTGCTTTGTTTGGAAGTGTTTTTTATTTTATTTTTTTTCTGGCTTTTAAACCTCAATGCTCAATACTTTAAGATTCCCTCTAAAACATTTAGCATATTTGTAAATTCCTTAGAGATGAATTTAAGATGAGCTCTTTTATTGTTTGTTTCAGATTCAGGTGAGGAGGACAAGGTCACAGAGTCTGAAACTCCTCTCTCACCTTCACTTCTCCCTGAGACGAAGTCTCCTGTCCCTGAGTCTCCTGTCCCACAGTCTCCTGACCCACAGTCGTCTGACTCACAGCCGCCTGTCCCTGAATTGTCTGACCCTATGTCCCCTATCTGTAAACCACCTGTCCCTCTACCTCGCTCATGTTTGAACCCAACATTTCCAAAGAATGAACACAAAGAGGACCCCAGCCCAGATCAAGTTGCCGGTAAACCTGAGACTCAGAACAGCAAAGAATCCGGCTTGTTGGGTTCAGGAGAAGAGAGCGAAAGGCCCACCATCAGTTCTGAATCGACTGGTACAGTAACAACACACGAGCAACAGCCTCCAGTGACAGAAACTAACCAGAAAGAGGAAACCTTGCAAGAAAACAACAAACAGGGTCCTGGAGAGAACCCAAAACCAAATGGCGAAGGAGACCAAGAAGGAATAGATCCTCATTTCAACACCCTTAAGGAGCATCAGAGCCTTGAATCATCAAAACCAGACAACATTAAGGTTGATACCTCTCCAGAGCCACCTGACGCTGCACAGGCATCCCCAGATGACAAAAACCAGGACAAGACCAGGCACAGCAGTCATTCAGAGACCGGCCCAGAAACAGAAGATAAAAGTGACACTGCTGAAGGTAAAAACAAAGATCAGCCTTAACCCTGGAGACAAAAACATGAAATGAAAGCTTTAGTGAGAAGAAAAAGAAGAAGAAAAGTGAAACTGTTGAATAGGCCTTTATGCTTACATGGTAACTGAAAAGAGAAAAGTGAAAAAGAAAGCAGATAATAGAGATGAGTTCAAGGTAAACCTACAGAGGCGGAGAATAAAAGGATGTTGAGTTTCAGACTGAGACAKTCTAAATGTCTATTTTACACTAAGCTGAACACATGGGTGGTCCATCCATCTTTGTGACCCATCTTCCATTTTTAAGAGAGGGATTTTTTTTTTTCATTTAGAAGAATTCAGCAGCTTACAATGCAGAAGGGTCGTACACAGTTTATACGATGCTCCAAGTTAAATTCAGGACATTTTTTTATAGATTTGACACTAAGGATCACTTTGATCCTCTGACTGTGAAGTTCTGCTTTCACAGTAAGTGTGTTTATATTGTATCTAAATAAATGTTTTATTAGTTTTTTGTTGTTTTAAAGAGTAGAGAGAGTGTAAAGTTCAATAGGGTATAAAATTTGTAATAAATAAAAAAAATAGTGATTTATCTATTTGCCTAAACTAATTTTATAAATGTTTAAATTGTGACATTTAACTATATGCTATTTTGTAGCATCAGCAATACTATTTTGGTAATGAATAAAAGATTTGAAAGGGACAATTATCATTTTTGAAATGTTTTTTTTTTTTAATGATTACGATGAAGTAATATCCTACTTACTGGTGAATTTTTATAAGTTATTTTGAATGTGAAGTCGTTCAAACAACACTAATATACTTTGGCTTCACTAAAGCTAGCCATTAGCTCATCAGTGTATTCAGATTCAGACCTTTTCTACAAACTGAGGTCATTCAAAGAGCTATCTAAATCAGGTAAGATATTTTTTGTTAGTCTCCAAATCGAACTTCACTTTAAACGATTAAGGCTATCTTTTTTTAAGCTACAATTATTCTAACACTGTTACGTTCACATGATTTGTTTGCAATCACTTGATACTAACTTCTAATGGTTAATTTTGTTTGTAATTGAACTAAAATGTCATATAAAGTGAGTTCATCTGACACACAAAGATGTACTGTTTTATTAGTGTTAAAGTGCAGTTATTTTTTATGTTTTCAAGATATGAATGAAAGTGTGTTCATGTTTTTAACACTGCCAGCATGTTGAAGATACTGCAAAAACGTATATGTAAATAAATACTTGTAATGTGGTGCTTAATAAATGATGCTTAATACTTTGATCTTTCTTTAGGTCTAATTTGGAGGGGGAAAATAAAGATTAACATTATTTGTTTAGTATCAGCATATGAACAAAGTAATTTTTCACACTTTAATTTATAATTAAATATATTAAAATTTTTAGAGATAGTTATTTAAAAGCCAAAGTTCATTTTGTCTAATAAAAGTTTCTCCAGATTCAAGGTATGCCTGTACCTACTGCACCATTTATTTTGCTGAAACTTTAGATTACTTTATGAAAAGTAAAGACAAGCAATTTTCTGTTCAATGTGTTTTCTCTCTTCCTGTCTTTGTTTGCTCAGTGCTTTTAAATTGCTTTAGGTAAAATGGCTCTGCAAAAGGAGAATTTACTTTGAAGGTCATTACTTTGGAATTCATGTGTGGTCTGAAAAACGAATCAGAAGACCTGGCGCTGAAGGAGAATTTCAAGTAACACATTTATAATGCGTAACTGTATAAACTTAAAACATTAACCATAAAAAATATATATTATTTACCACTTAAAATATATGTAAATAACCTGCAACATGAACAAAAGTAGAGAAGTATGGCAGGACAATGTGGAGTTGTAGGATTAGTTTCACATCACTAGGGGGCAGTGTTGGTCAACMTTACTGTTTTGCAGTTGTCATATAATTTATATTAAAAACCCTCACAGTAAGATGGTTGAACGATAATTCCTATAAAGGCAAGCTTGATTAAAAATATGTTAGGAATAAAACATTAAAAGATGTCATCAGAGGAAATTAATTGGTGGACATTTTTGTAAAGTCTAGAACATGCAGATATGTGACCCTGCCTTGAGTTATCAGGCTGGGAGTTGATTAAGTGTTGCATAAGTACATTATGAAGGAATGTGCCGTCCAGGATATTATTCAAAGATATTGAAAGAGATATTTGGCGTATTTAAATGAAACAATAAATCATTTGATAAAAGATTGAAGGTGAGTTTGACGAGAAGTCGTTTTGATTAATAAAAGGCATGTTCACCTGGATGACAGGCTGGTGTAGATTTGGAAGGGCACTGATGGGGCCGTCGTGTGTGAGAGCCATGCATGATTACCCCCCCCCCCACACACACACACACACACACACACTGAAGTCTGTGACCTTCTACTACCTGCCTTGTGTGTTCAAGGCACAACCACTGAATGAATGCTATCATATTTCCACAGTGAATACTACTGCTTTATCTGAGTGTGGAGTTGGGTTGTGGTTGATGCGTTTGTGGCAATCAGAGCCTCTCTCACAAATGCTCTGATGCAAAAAAAAAAATGCAATACACAATAACAATAAAGTTAGACACTCAGCATGATGGAAATGAAATTGCAAATGTTGAAAGTAGGGTTGGGCATAAAGGTATGGTGTGTAAATAGTGGTCAGAAAAACTATTGATTCATATTTGGCACTATAACTTCAATTAGTGCCATGTGATGTGTGAGCCCAAGCTAACTCTAACCCTAACTCTTGTGTGTAACTTGTTTAATCACCTGAAACACCGGCATAAACAGAGATACGAGCAAAGCCAGAAAATGCAGCCCAAGGCCACAACGTTGGCTACATGCAAGTGTAGTTGTCATATTGGAATATTTATCGTTATCTGCTAAATGCCACAATCAATCATCATTATTATTATTATGGCTATTATTATTTTTGGCTAGTTGAAAGGTTATATAAAATGCAATGATTGCAATATCAAAGCATACAGACAGTTGTCAGTAAAGGCAAAAATCTGGTTCCATGTCTTTTGCAAAAAGTGGTCTCACACCAGTTGTAACTTCCTCCAGTCCAGCAGGTTGACATTGGGTTGGAACTGACATCCAAACTGATCCCACACATCTTTAATCTACAAAGCTCAGAGCATCTGGCTGGCACTGGGAGGAGCTTAGTGTGACGTAGACATAAACAGGTGCTTATAATGCCTATCTGCACCTACAAAACATCCTCTGTGTCTGGTGACTTTTGACTAAATTGACTCGAACTCCCCAGCAACTGCCTGATAACACTACTGCTCCATTCTTGATATTTACGCCCTCTGGTGCCAGCTCTTTGTTAATCAAATCATTTACATACCCATGCTGATMTGCAAGTGGATCAAATTACTTTGAGATGAAACTATTTTATCTGCTTAACGTTTTCCATCAGTGCTCGTTTGTTTCGATCCAACAGGATGTCACTTCAGGGTACACACTGTTGTACAGTTTCATTACACCAGAGTGTGATCTTCCTTCAGATTCAGACAGGGTTACACTTTTTCAGAATGTTTATTTCCCTTTGGCCTTATTGCAGCAGAACAGAGAGGGTAAAAAAGAAGAATGGGCTACCCTCCAGGACTGTCWTTTATACCAAGCTTATTAGCATGCTGGGTTGTTTAAATTGCCTCCTGGAGGGCTGACGTGAAATCGAACAATATCCTCTGGCTTTGGAGACTATAGCCCCACAGCTTCTCATTTATTTTATGCAGAGTTAGGACAGAGCCTTGGCACCGTTCCGCTGAGGAAGCTAAGCCCAGGGAGGCCAGGTCTGGGTAGGTCAGGACGAATCAATTAATATCCGCTCAATAAAAGTTCTTGGCTTTTTCGAAGCCATTCTTTACTGTGACAGTGCAACCTGGGTGCCACTATAATGATGTGGCTGTGTTGTTAAATGTGATTAAGACATTATATTGAAATAACATCCTTTCTTTTCCCAGCTCTATAAAAACACAGTTTGTCTTTTGGACCCTTCTTCCGAGAATTAATGATTGTTTGTTGTGATTATTATTAGACTTTATTAAAGGTTTGCCTCTTGGGTAAAGTTGTTTATGAGAGCACTCGGGCCTAACTAAGCCTCTATGCATTTATTTTGGTCATCATGTAAAATTTAAGCACGCCCGAGGCAGAACGTTTATTACACCCGTAGCAGTAGCCAACACGGTAGAAACACTCACTAATATGCTACTTATGTACACCTAAAGTGATCCAAATGGGACAGATAAAATGAGACGTGAAGCTTATTTGTGTCCACTTTGACCCAAAAATGATCTCAGTTGTCAGGGATAATTCCATAAATTCGTGTCAGGATCGTGTTGCAGTTTAAGTTGAGGGAAATCAGATKATCTAAATTTACTCAGCCATAGTTTGATCTGTGAGAATTCACAGTGGTGTTTGAGGAGCACATCACTGCTGTCAGGCTCATATTTGGTGACCACAGTAAAAACAGGTTCAGGCTGAATAGAGGTGTGGACAGTGGCAGCCATGTTTGCTTGACTTTTATTTACATTCCTCCACACTGGGACACCTTAAAATTTTTTGATTTCTTTACTAGGCGTGATGTTTAAGCTTTATTTTGTTKTTKTTTTTTTTTGCCCTGTTTTTTTTGCCATCAATTAACTTGACAATTCCTTCTTGCTGAAACACTAAAGTCAGTCTGTAAACATTGTGTGTTGTAAAATCTGGAGAGGTTGATGGAACGTTGAGAGGGCGGTTTTCTTTATGGTTTGTTTAGAGGTTTTATTTTAGAGGCAGCTTACATCCTATGTAATGATTATAATATGCTACATGTATGTATGGTCATCAATGCATGTTCCCATAGAATGACAAAATTTGTGCTCTGCATTTGACCTATCACCTGTGACATACCTCCAAGTGGACCAGCAGGCGCCCAGTGTTTTTTTTCTTCCGGTGACCAGTTAGAGAGTAGGTGCTTTGCTTAAAGAGTAACTTACCCCAAAATTAACTTTTTTTAGCTGATAAACTGTCTAGAATGTGTCTAAAATGTTATATAGTACTGTTTCTGTGCTAATT